ACTCTTATCCCCGGGGAGGGCAATGAGCCACCCTGCTCGGTAGGGTATTAACAATTCAATGGCTCTCTAATGAACATATTGACCTATCATTGCCATTCCTGTTGAACCCCCCAAAAATATTGGTAAATTTTCTTATGAAACCAGGACCCAAATGTCAGTAATTACACATGCAACAGCACAAACCCTGAGCATAACACCTGGTCAACGCAGGGTTAAATTCACGGGAATCAATGGTGTGGAAAAACAATGCCCCACTGCAAAAATTTCACTCTGGTTGCCAGAGGAACAAAAATTAACCAGGGTAGAAGTATTAGTTGGTGCTGCATATACTAATATTTTAGGATTTGACATACTGCATGGTTGTATGTGAAAACTCCCTGATGGAACTGTGTGGAGTTTCGCGACACATCAAAGGGTTTCAGGCACCATGAGACTGAGTCTGTTACAAACATCCATACCCTCATCCCCTGCTAAAATCATTAATGATCGGCAATATCTGTTGTCAGCAGCAGCACTTATGGGGATTGACGGGGTGGTAACAGAATTGGAAAAAAGAGACATTATTAAAAGGACCAATTCACCTTACAATTCACCAGTGTGGCCGGTAAAGAAACCAACCAGGCAATGGCATTTTACAGTGGATTACAGACAGCTGAACGCTAACACTACACCTTTGACTGCCGCAGTTCCAAACATGGCAGAGATAGTGAAAGCCCTCTGTGTTTCTAACAGTAGCAATAGTGCTAACTACTCCCAAATATTTCTACGCATGGGAAATCAAAGATTGCTATTTCACCCTCTTTCTAACCCTGCCGGTTGAATACAACCGAGCATATTTTATTTTCTTTTGTGTTCACAGGAACCCTGAGCGAACTGTATATGGACAGCTGGAAGATGACGAATCAACAGTTTGGATTAATGATGCTATGCTTTACCCTGACCTTGATGCAATTACAGACCTTAAAGGAAACTTAGCTACTGTGGCTGTGCATGGAGCTGAGGTGTTTCACCGTGGCATTTAACCATGTATTGTCACAGTATAGCACAGTCACTGGAACATCTCAAAACAGAAAGGACCTAAATCTCTCTACTTTAGTTCTACATGGAAACAAATATTTCAAAAGATGAATGGAGTTGTAATGATTCTCTAAGAATGGCTGAACTTTAAGCCATGTCTGGACAGACAATACAAATTGGTTGCCAAATAACTAAAATAACTGAACCAAATTTTGATTGCTGGTACAATTTTACTTTCACCAAACTTATAATTGTGTGCTGTCTTTGGGGTTACAGAGGCACAGAATTACTATTTGAATTCATGGTCAAAGGATAAGAAGCCTCTGCCCCTGCAGATATTGAAAATGAACCGACTCAGCCTCCCATTGGTCTAACTCCTTCCATCTTCAACACAGGTCCTTACATAATTAAAAATGTGGGACAACAACAAATTGTCTTTAACCCTAGTTGGTCCCTAAAAAAGGGCCACAGGATGCAACTAGGTTATTGGGAACAGGATTAGGTATATTAAAAAACATTGATGCTGAGGTCTTAATGAGTAGAATAACTGCCTACTACAGATGACCTAAGGAAATTGGAACAACCAATAAAATCATCCTTATTGGCTTGAGGAAAATGATCATCAATTAATTGTAAATACCCTTGGAAAAGCCCAAGGCAATACCTCCCTTGCCTTGAGCTGTATCCAAGCACAGTTATGGATACAATCTGTAGCAGCAGCTATTATTAGAGAGGGAGAAGGAGGAACTTTGCCCACTGAAATTTGAAAATTGATTTGGGATAATGCTTCAGAATTTGAAAAAGAATTTCAAGCTTGGTGGCAATTAGTCAACTTTACCCATTAAAATGATCAAATTGTTGCCTTTATACTTACTATAAGTAATGCCACCGTATACAATGTATATCCAATCATTGCATTAGGACTCAATCATAATGGAACTACACTTTATCCTAAAGAGCATAAAGTATGGGCCCATCAAAAGGGAGGAAAGTGGCAAACAATTGATGTAAATGCATAAAGTAATACGCTGGAATCTCAAGACATTTGTCTTGACACTGAGCAAAATATTTGCCACTTTGAGATACATCCTAATGAAACCCTTGAAATTGTACTTATATATATTGGGAAAGGTTGTGTTTGTATGAGAACTCATTGTGATTCTATAGTTGTAGATACCAGTAATCACTCTAATGTTTGTGTTTGCAATTTTACCAAAATTCTAGGATGTGATTTTAAATACTCAGTTCCTGTCACTTCTTATCAACTTATTGCATCTAATTATATTCTGCTTCATGAACTGCTGCCTACTCCTATTGGAATGAACCTCACCTTGGTGAAGAAATTGCTGATACATGAGGACCTGAAGCAGCTGATGACACAAGTCCGAGAAAATGGACAAAAGACTCTGATTACTGTCCACCATGATGCACAAGAAATACATCGAGTAATGGAAAGAGTGAAGAGAGATGAGAGACACCGTTGGTGGGACACTTTGTTTGGATGATCGCCAGCTGCCAAGGGAATCTTCAACAAGATGCTTCACCCTGTTATTGTTCTGCTAATACTGTATTATGTTTTATACTGACAATTAGTTTGTATGCTAAACTCTGGTTTATGATGAAACGTTTAGCATCACTACACAATGTACATACACTCGGTAAACCTCAATCCGAGAATGTATGTGATGTCCCTGACATATTCCAACTGTCGTGAAGCTTGAGTGACTATAGTCACGGGGTGGATTATGTGGTGTAAATGCCTGAAGTAACTAGGAAAATAAAACTAACATTCACACTTTTAAGGAAAAGGTACAGCATTGAAGAGGCTTTCAGGGTAGGGTATAACTGCATTATCTGAGCATTCCCTAGGCTCCCAACCTTAGATGCTATCGCGCTGGGGAAACTTGGTGTGCTAGCTCTAAGGAACACCACGGAGCGTGGAGTGGAGTGGAGACACCACGGCTAGGCTCTGTAATCAGGTGGGGCCTCGATTGTTCTTGTGCACAAAGCTGCACTTTTTGCCACCCTAAGCCAAAGACCTGTCATGTTTTGACAAATGCTGTACCCTAGTGTACTTTTTGCTCATTATAATATCATTATAATACCAAAACACACCTCCATCCCAAAAGCTACCCGCCTCCAAGGTGCGACCACCCCTCACTGAGCATGCGCTCTGAATTTCTCGGAGCCTATTACTTTAAACGGAGACGGGAAAACTTTACACCAATCATAACTAAGATATGCTTGACTAGAGCCACTCAAGCTCCACCTAAAAGATAGAAAATAATATAAATTGGCCCAAGAGAGAGGGGATGTTAGGGAAGATACCATCGTCAGGGGAGATACCATCCCGAGGACATACAACATCCTTAGGACCTCCTGACTCCTGGGATCAGTCGACGGGCTGAGCCTCTCTTCCCCCCCATTGGGACGCCTTTGGGTGAGATCTGAATATTTGCTCATAAATCTCTATAGAGTCTTTGATCCTTTTAACGCGTTTATTTCTAGGCTGCGCACCTGTAACACCTGTAACACCTGTAACACCTATAACACCTATAACACCTATAACATCTGTAACATCTATAACATCTATAACATCTGTAACATCTGTGACATCTGTGACATCTGTAACACCTATAACACCCGTGTATTTCATGCATACTAGCTTGCTTTTGCAGACAGTCACTATCACCGGCAATCCAAAAGAACCTGATTATCTGTTGCTGTAATAAACCATACTTGATTGCATTGTGATAGCTTTCATTAATGCGACTTGGGTGAGGGTGATTATCCATGATAATTCAGTGTTCTGAATCTAACCAGACCCCCAGACGGTTAATGCATTGTTGGTGAATGTCTGAACGGACCCCCAGGTGGTTAATACGTTTTTGGTGAATGTCTGAGTGGACCCCCAGGCGGTTATTACGTTTTTGGTGATTGTCCGAACGGACCCCAGTTTTGGTGAATGTCCGACTGGTTCAGTACTCTGAATCCAAACGGGCCCGTGACGGTTAATCAGCTACACCCCTTTAACGCGACAGGGGCACAATGTATATCTGCAGGCACACCACTATTCAGCCCACACTGCAGCCAAACCAAAGTGTAAGAAGTGATCTGTTGTCTGGAAAACCTCCTCAAGTGGTCTGCCAGCTCTGCAAATGATAAATACAGTTCTATGGTCAGCTTAATTGTTGAGGCCCTTGAGTGGTGGATTACTCAGTACAGTGCTTCTGAGATTAGCTTGAGGTACAAGCATCATCAGGAAAAAAGCAAAATTAATTTATCCAATATATCATTAGTTCTCAAGATGTGGTCTAAAACCATGATGGATGGTTTTGTGTGAGAGAGCCTGTGGAGCACTGTTAAACATGAAAATTTACAAATGGACCGGTTAGAAATGTGATAATAGATATAGAGTGGCCCCTGAGAATTACAAGTTTGTCCAACAAGTGGAAATTACTGTGCAAAGAATAAGAAAAGCTTATCCAGAAAAATACATTTTCATCTGTAGCAAGCATGTGAAACATGAAATGTAATAACTTTTCAAAATTACTCCAAACTTTGGAAGCTTTTGTTTTATTGTAACAATAGCGTGGGAAGAAACATTTGTTTTCTTTCTATTTCTAGATCTGCCCTAGTGGAATGGGAATGGAAATGGTGGGAATGGAACAAAATCCATGTGAGAAATCTGTAGTTAGTTTTGTTTCTGGGATGACTTGAGGTCAAATTATAGTAGTTTGGATTGGAACCAAACAAATCATCACCTATATCTACACAAATCTCATTTCCTTTACACCAGTACTCATCCCCCATACGTACATGATCAAGAAAGTTAACAATACTCCAGAAAAATAAACAGGCAGAGAATTTACTAGCCACCTCTTTTGCAGCTAAAAGAAAATCTGCAGAATGAAAAATAATCTCATATTTTGAACAAAGCACTTTTACATGATGTAATTGAAAAGAGGTAAAGGATTTAACTAACTTTTATTATTTTTTTAATAATATGAAGTGGGGAAAAAAAAAAAAAAAAGAGTCCAATGTTAGAATATAACAATTGCACTAATGGGGCCAAACTCCTGTCTCACCCACCACAATCACAGTGGGCACTGAGGCTCTGTCTCTATTAGTGTACAAAGAAGCCAAGGGACATTTTTTGGCCTTGTAGACAAAAGTCATGGCACTACTGTCAGTAAAGCTAAATTATCTAGATTTGGGTCTCTACCTTAGCTCTATTTAGTTGCTTAGAAAAAATGGAATATATGGAGAATGAATATAGGAAATATATCTAGTAAAATGATCCTTTCTTCTGATATAGAGTCCCAGCTTCTGCAGTTCAGCACCTTTGGGACTTCCTGAGCCAGAAACGGCAACGACAATTTAAAAAATGCAGATGAACCTCCCTCATGTCTTTTTCAGTATTATTGTGTGAAAATGTGCTTCCTCTTATTTGTTGCAAGCCTGGTACCTAATTCTTATGCTTCTTCAGCCTTCTTAATTCTTATGCTATAAAAACCACTGAATTCTTTTGTATTCATCTTTTCCAAATTTTTATTTTTATTTTATCAGACTTTATCATTTTCTCCCAATCATATCTTTCCCAAACTGAAGAGTCTTATCTACTTTATCTCTGCTCTATAGAAATTATTCTGTAGTACAGTTCATTTTTGTCACCCTTATCTGTTCTCTTTTTAATTCTATTATAACCTTTTAGAAAGGTATTACCCAGAACCACATTTATTGTCCAGATATGGATTTATACATCTATTTGTTTTTTTTTAATTCCTCAGTCTTTTCCCAACAATTCCTACTCCGACTTTTTTTTATTTTTATTTCAGAAGACATAACTTAATATTTCATTGATGTTTTCAGGGTCTTCAAGATCGTATTCAAGAGTAGTAATATTAATTTGGAGTGTTTTTTTTTTCTCTGTGCATGACTTTCCATTTATTGACATTGATTTCATCTGTCACTTCATTGCTCAATATCATGAGACTGTTCTGTCACTCCCCACATCCAGCTTATGCTTTTACTATCCTGATTAATTCTGTATCATTACACAAAAAATCACCTCACAGCTCACCACCTTTTCCACAGCATTCATGAATCCCAGCCTTCCCTGCAGCGCTGATGGTTCCTTGCTGTGAAAAATTATTATTCACACTACCCTTTGTTTCCTATCTTTCACCAAGTAATCTGGGAGAAGCTTTACCCTTTTACCCCATGACAATTCTATTTCATTAATATTGTTTATCTCTCTTTGAAAATTCAAGTTCATAAGTTTGAATCAACATTATCCAAATGATCCTTTTGACTTCAGACAATTGCCATAGTTTTGCAAAGTATGGCTTTCCTCTACAAAAGCTGTTCTGATACTTGCCAAATATATCATATTTTCTCTTTTGTCTACTAATTATTTTTGTTATAATTCCTAGCAATCCTCTTGATAATCAAGTTAGAATTACTGGTCTGTTGGAGCAAGGAAGAGCCCTTTTTAACAGCTGTTTTCCCATTTGTCACTTTCTATTATTTTGGTATAAAATTATTAGACATCAGTCTCTTCAATTACCAGTTCACACTGGTAGAGTCCTCAGGTGTTTTACCTATAAAGAAAATCAGCAATAAAGGTACCTCTAGGATCTTCCCCATAATGAACACAAATTAAAAACAAAATAAAAAAAAAAATCCTCTATAAGCATGTGTTAGATTATTTGTTTATTGTGGTCTTATTCACTGATGAACCCAGACTTTAGCAGACTTCTTTGCTCCCCAAGTACTTAAAGTTAATTTCTTGTTGTTGTTGTTGTTTTGTTTTGCTTTGCTTTCCTTTGTTTTCAGGAAAACTCTATCCCATTTCTGAGGGATATTTTTTTCATTTTTTTTCTTTTTTTTTTCTTTTTTTTTTTCATTTTTTCTTTTAGTAATTCCCTGTCCAATATGGACTTATGCTGTTCAATCATAAGTCTAGGGAAGAAAAATTGAAGAGACTGTCCTTTCACAAGCATTCTTTAATGAGAATACAAATGCTCTGAGCTTCTAAGGTAGTATAAATACATCAGAATTTTACCTTTTTAATTAGCTATTCCTTTTTACTAATTTCCTATATTTTATGTAAATTTATTATTTAACTGTAAATATTACACGATTGTGGTGAGACTTTTTGTATGTTTATTACTAGTGTGATTTTTTTCATACTTACAAGGCTATGAAATTTAAATATTCTGTGTCCATTATTACATAGTGGCTCTTGGGTAACTGTTGTTGAATTAGATGTGCATTAAATCTTGAGATCTAAATTTAGAAATGATCCTTATTTTGAGACTTTTCAACTACAAATTGCAGTGTGCAGTCAGTTACAATGATGCATATAGTCAGTTAAAGTTTGTCAGATGTGGATTTGAGGACTGTGTTAATAATCTAGACACTTCAATTGTGCTTTGGATGTCAATGTTCTTTCTTGAATCTTTGTTTCTCTGTTCTTTCATTCTCCATCTGTTAAATGGTAACAACAGCACTTATTTACATTGCATTGGTATTATGAAGATAAATATACTATAAATTATGAGGTATAATCAGGAGATGCAGCAATAATAGAGTTTATATAAGCATTCAAGAAAAAAAAAAATTAAACCTTTCAAAGGCATCTGGCTTGCACATATGGTGCTGTACTGAAGACTGTACTATTATCAACATTAATGCTTATAGACTGTACCTCTACATTTCTGCTAATCTTCAGTATGTCTGTAATATGCAAACTGTGTTAAACCTACATTATGCAAACACTTATAGAATAATAAAAATGATAATAAAGGGAACAAAGGTGAAACTATACATAAGAAATATTCCATACTTTGTTAGTTTTGTTTTCTGCCATGTTGTGAGGCTTTGAATTGGCTGAATTTTGTAGCCATATTGGCAAAGGTTTTTGCAGAGGAAAGAGGTGAGCAGTGTGGAGACCTCAAGGCAAACCACTGATCAGAGGCACCAGTGAAGAATAAGCTAAGAGAAACAAAAAGGAGCTGAGTTAAGCGTGTGAACTGGACAGACCATAATAAACTTTTCAGTGAAGTGAATAAGGATAAAGCAAAATGATGTCAGCAGCAGCCTCACTTGTGAATAGGGTTGAAGTGCCAACAGTGACTGGAGCACCTATCATATGAGGACAGGCTGAGAGAGCTGGGCCTGTTTAGCCTGGAATATAAAAGGCTGAGGGGAGACCTCATTAATGTATATGAATATCTGAGGGGAGGGTGTCTAGAGGATGGAGCCGGTCTCTTTTCTGTTGTGCCCAATGACAGGATGAGAGGCAATGGGTACAAACTGAAGCACAGGAGGTTCCTGCTCGATAAGAGAGGGAACTTCTTTACTATGACAGTGACAGAGCACTGGGAGAGGTTGCCCAGAGAGGTTGTGAAGTCTTCTCAGAAGATATACAAAACTCACCTGGATGCCGTCCTGCACAATGCACAGGACATCCTGCTCAGCAGGGAGGTTGGGCTAGATGATCTTCAGAGGTCCCTTCCAACCTCAGCCATTCTGTGATTCTGTGATGTTGTAGTACTTCTTTGCAAGAGGCATGAAGATACATTTATAATGTATTAATGTCATAACTTATTGTTCACAGAACTAGCTAATGCTCAGATGACCAACATAAGTATGGAAGAAAGTGTTATGTTCCAGGTGACTTGGCAATTTGTAAAATATCATTATGTCATCTAAAATCCATTAGCTTATGTCCTGATATGTCCTGAGGAATGACAAAACCCAATAATTTGACATACCTGATTTAGGAGACTACATAACAGTTTAAACAGTATAAAAGAAAATATTTTAACAATCAGAGCTATAAATAATTTAATAATCAAAACAAAAAGATGTGTTGTGAAATATTCATATATATACATATATATTTATACATATCAAAAGGGTCATCCTAAAGGATAATTTAGGTTGGAAATTAGGAGAGATTTCTTTTCAGAAAGAGTATAGGCATTTGTACAGGTTGCCCAGGGAGGTGGGGGAGGGAGGTGGGGGAGGTACCTGGAGGAAAGGTTGGATGTGGTGAGTAGGAACATGGCTTAGTGGGTAAGCTAATAAACAGAAAGTCAATACACAGAAGCCAAAAGCAGAAACTGACCAATAAAGCATTCCATCAGGTAGCAGTGAAAGGGAGGAAATGAGGACCCTATCAGAACATTCACAGAAAAATTCACAGGGAAGTGGAAGGCATAAGAAAATAGAAGACACAGGATAAAATGTAAAGGTACCTCTGCTCAAACCAGGAATAGCAGGTACTCCTTCCCTTTAATTTCTTAATTGAAAGAGTTTGTGTTCATCTGTCAGGTGCTTTTGGAAGGAGAAACAAGAGAGGCCCAAGCACCTCTGCCTCATCAGCAGTGACTGGTAAAACATGTGATCTTCCAGGATCAGTGCAGAGCAGCAACTCTGATGTTATGCAACTTTCCTATCAAAAATGCTGTTACCCTAATCTACAACCCATGGCCACTTTAATAACAGCTTCAGCTGTCTGATTTGCCCTAAATTTCCGTATAGTCAAAGGGAGCATTTTTTTTTTCCCTTCAGCTTTCTCTGTGGTCAAATACATTATTTCTATAATAACAGTCTTTATCAAGATACTGGTTTCGATCCAAATTTTTCTGTCACAATCATACACCACTTTGCTTATTTGGGTTTATTTCACATCCTTAATATTAATTAAATGCTGAGAAGTGTTTTTTTTTTTCTTTTTTTTTTCCACACTAATTTTATTTTCTTAGATTTTTTCTTTTATATAGCCCCCCTTGCCCCCCCTCCCCCCCCCCCCGTAATTGCAGTAGGATTAACTGCATTGTTAGAATTAGAGTTCTGAATACAAATAAGAGGGCTTTTCCCTTTTTCTTCCCTGACTACATTTCTATTACTGCAATCACAAGTATTGTTAACAACATTAAAGCCCACAGCAGATGTGAACCAGGCTATAGAGAATATTTTGATTCCACAGAAAGGTTCAGTGCTGAAACATAATGTTCTTGCTTCCCAGCTATTACAGGGCAAACTAGCATGCACTTTTGAAAGTTAATATCTAATTTTCTAGATGCCTGCTGCCAATTTGTTTTCATTCTACTTCAATATAGTAGGCAATGAGAAGGGATTTTGCAAAGATTACTACTGGGCTCATTATTATTGCACTAGTAGTTCTGGAAAACAAAATACCAAAACTCAGCTGATGATGACATAGTTATACAACAAAACAGGTTGCTTAGAATTCAGACCTTGGAATGAGCCCCTAGAGAAGACCTCGGGCTCACAGCCTACAACTTAAATAACTCTGACTTATCTTTTATGCTATATTCTTAGTTTTATTGCAAAACTGGATTTATGTTAAGAGCTGAAGTTCTATGCAGTCTTTAACCTCTCTTTTTGTCCGGTGTTTGGAATACAAACCAGGCCAAGAGTGACAACTGAAAGCTACTGCCATCTGATGGCTGCAAGATAACCAGTGCAAAACAAGCCTCCTGCAAGCAGGTGAAAATCCTACAAGTTAGTTACTGCCACTGGCACAAGCCTGGTCTCTTTTAAGCATGTTTAGCAAAAAGTACCATCAATCTATCATGGCAGCTGAGCTCTCCTCTCAGCCTGAGTAGTTCTACCTCTGATAGTCATATCCATCTTGTGTTGCATCTTCCCTCTCTCCCTCAACTATCTTACAGAAAATGAATAAAATAAAGGTATTTGCCTTTTGTAGCAGTGTAAGAATTACCAATATATTAGTACTTTAAGAGCCATTTGCCTCTGCTGCTGAAGACAAATGAAGCTACTGGTTACAGAACAGAAAAAAAAAAGGGGGGGGGGGAGGGGGGGAAGGATTACCTTTTCCCTGGAATATTTGTTGCGGGGAGGGGGGGAAGGAGGAATATTGGTTTGGCTCCTGTTTATGGGGGTGAGTTACTAAATATGACCTGGAACAGTATCTGAATTTCAAGTTGATAAAGTCCATAAAGCTTTATATCATATGGAGCATTTCAGTGAAACTATATTCCATTTCTTAGTCCACCTTAATCATTTGATTACCCTAATATCCATCTGAAATATAAGGTAGCAAAAACTGTGATTAACCAACAGTTAATTAAGAGGAGGTATAATTAAAGAAAAAAAAATATCTTAGAAGCCCATTCAAAATCTGTAAAAATGCATGGAAGGATTGCATGAAAATTGGTCCAAATTTAAACAATGAAAAGCATTCTGTAATACCTTCTTTATCACAAATGGGTATAAGCTAAGCATGTTCAGTAGCCCTGAAATAGTATTTCCTTTTCTAATTAGGGAAAAGAGCTTTCTAGGGATGTCTGCAGAATGATACAAGATTCTCTGAGAAGCTGCCAAATTATAGTGGAAATGTGTTTGCTCCCAGCATGAGTAGAAACAGTTGAGATCCTAGTTGCTTAGAGGAACAGAGATATCAGATGTTATCATGAATGCTTTCTGTATTCCTTCAGGTAACTCAGAGACCCTAATTATTTTACACTAGGCCAATTCTTTTGGCCTAGACAACACTTAAACGCTCAAAAAAAAACCACTTAAATCCAATGTATCGAGTAAAGTCTGAGACCTTTGTAAAGGAATATGTGCTGACCACAAGGAACCCAGTGTGTTAAGAAGAATCCTTCCCCATATTTGAGTGGAGTTGAGCTAACTGATTCTGTGCATGCTCCTCCATACCCTGCAAAACAAACTGCACTGATGGATCCCTTCCTAGTTTTGCAAAGTGTGCTTTTTGCAAATTCTCAATTATCTGACTTAGCACAAGGGTATATAGTATTTCTTCCCCTTCTTGTGGGATAAGACATCTCAAGTTTAAGCAGAAGTGGTTGTGAAGGACCCAAATACATTTGTAGGTGGTAATGGAAGAGGTGAGAATTTAAATGTGTGATTTCCAGCTCAGTAAAATTTCTTTAACCAAGTCATTATGTAGTAAAGACCATCTTTACCATTTCATATTTTCCTCCCTCCACTCATTTCCCTCCTCACACCAGAATGTATTTTATAGTCGCAAGATTGGAAAATAAGTGTAATAAACATGCAAGTGCATGAGCTGAAAGGATAAAGGGGCTGTAATAATGGCTGCTAGAAAAGAGGGAAGAAAGGCATGATCTTCACAAATAGTAATGCTAAATCTTTGATGAAGTAATTAATAACATTTTAAAAGCTCTCCCACTCACAGTACATTTGTTTCTGTAATTGTGATACACTAGGAGATTCAGTGTTCAATTGCCCTGAAACTCATTCGCAAGTCCCTTGGTAGCAGCTAAGTAATTCCTGTACGTTCCCAATGACAGAGAACATTTTTAACCTGCATTTCCATATTAATCTGGTAATGCTTCCATACTATTTCATAGAAAATGCTGCTTGTTCTGCAAGGTCAGTCCTCAGAGAGAATTTCAGAAGTGACAATGACATATAAATGTACTCTGTGCCCCTGTGCACCTCATTTCTTTTTCTTGCCATTCCAACACATCCTAAAAACAGATGACTTGCTGATCCCAAGAGTCGGGGAGTAAATTATGCAAATACCAATAGTTTTTTACTAATCGTGAAGGAGAAAAACTTCTTCTAAGTAAATTTTATTGCTGAGTTTTGTTTGTTTGTTTTTTTGCTTGCTTGTTTGTTTGTTTGTTTCACAAGTTCATCAGGATGATTTCTCTTCTGTCAAGATTCTTCATAACAGAAGAGTACAGAAAAGTTCCTGCAGTTGCTGTTCAGTGGAAGTAACCTGTTGTTTAACACATCTTCTTCTATTTTCAGAACTTCTACTAAGCAAGAAATCTTTATTTGGCACTATGTCTAACCTGTGAGTTAATTTTAGAGATGTTTTCCTGAAAGCCCCTCAATGCTGGAGTTCAAGTTAATCTACAGCAAGTATTCAGCTGATAAATGTATATGTATATATATATATATATATTAAAAAAAAAAAGAAAAAAAAAAAAGAAAAAAAGTTCTTCTATAATAATGTTGGGAATTACACTGTGCACTTAATGGATCCCCTGACAGCATTTATGTGACCTAGGTTAGGCAAAGTCAGTGACTCTATCACTGGAAAGAAGACATGCCTAGGTAGCTAACTACTACTCTGTGACCTGTATAATGAAAAAGGCATGTTCCCACAGAGTGGGTTAATGTCTTTAAAAAAAAAAAAAAAAAAGGAAAAATCAGAGAGCTTCAGCACATCAGCAGCTATATCTTGCTGCTGTAATCTGGACAGAGCTCTTTGATATCAAATGACTGTTTTGTTTTAATATGTTTGCCCCTCCAGGGCAGAAGTTGTCAGGCCTTTGGTCCATGGAGTACAATGAAGTGTTTTATTTCCTGATATTTTGTACAAACTGTTTCCTACCCCAGTTCATTAACTAATATAAACTTTTTGAATGATTCACCTCATAGTCAAATGGTTAAACCTCCATTCGCTACTGTACTGTACTCCGCTCACAACTACTTAATGTTGGGTTTTACTGAATTTTTCTTAAGCTTTTAATGAACCTCAACCAAACTGGTGGGAACCATCAATTTTGGTAGCCCTCCATGAAGCAGAAAGGGGAATAATCACTGCAAATCTGGCCATCACCAAAAATTCAATGCATTTGTACTACAGTAGATAATTTCTGAATGTTTTCTTGTAAAGATTTTGTCATAGTTTTGTTTGCTGTTGTCAAAAGCCTATCCAAATAGATCATCTGCACAATTCATGAGGGAATGTTGGATGAGTCTGTGACAGTAGATATTAGACTGTACCCAAAGGCTCTTTCAAAGAAAAATGTTCATATGTATATTGAACTACAAATTATGAGAAGAAAATATATTTTGTTTGTCACACAAACAAGCATTGCACGGTAACTGCAGAAGACGAGTTGTGGCATTAAGAACACAGTGTGTTCAGATTCACTGAAAATGAAAAGTTGAAATCACCTTTCACTGCTTCTTGTGTAAATGAGATGTCTATAATAAATTTAAGAAGAAGCCGAATAAAGCACAAGCCCCTCCCCAATGAAGATGCTTCAGAAAGCCCGTGAGCTTTTTATCTCCCTCACATATACTTACATTTTTAATGCCACAAAGCATACATTAAATTAAAGATTCTTGTTTATGCAATTATAGCATTTTAAAGAGTTTGTTCAGCAGCTGTTGAAAATAAGTATCAGCCACTCTGGGCAATTAAATTTCATGGCTCAAAACGACAGAAGGAGTATTCTCCATTAGCACAATCAGTAGGGAAGCAGATATTATCTGAACTTGGAAATTATTCTCTTTAAAGGAAAACTGGAAAGGCAGTTGCCAAATAAAATTATTATATTTAAAATATATATTAATTTATGCTGTATACTGGAGGGACAAAGAGTTGCTAAATCTACTATATGCTTCATTTATCCGTGATGCATA